CTTTTTAAGACTTGTAGACTTCAACTCCCAGAATTCTGGGAATTGAAGTCCACAAGTCTTAAAAGACCCCCTGCTGTAAAGAAATGAAAAGATGAAGAGTGACAACCAGTGGTGGGCTGCAAGTTTTTTAACAGCTGGTTCTCTGGGCCATTTTCAGGATGTTTTGGGGGGTGTTTTCAGGATGTTTTGGGGCCATTTTCTAGCTGTTTTCAGACTGTTTTTCGAGCCATTTTCAGACTGTTTTTCGGGCCATTTTCAGGCCATTTCTTGAGCTATTTTCAGGCTGTTTTGGGGCCATTTTCAGGCTGGTTTTTTGCCCATTTTTTGCCCCCCAAACAGTCCAAAAAACAGGCCGAAAAATGAGTGGGGGCGGGACCAGCCGGTTATGGGATTTGCCGGTTCTCCGAACTGTGCCGAATCTTAACTATTGGTTCGCAAACCATCAGCAGCCCACCTCTGGTGACAACCACCCCAGGAAGTCTTTCTACTCACAGGTAAGCGAAGGAGAGTTTTGGGCGATACCACAATGAGGGGTTTCCGGAAGTTTCGGACCATCTGCCTCCGAAGTAAGTGGAAATACTGTGCCGGGGTAGTTGGATGGACCACGGACATATTGACGTGGTCACCGTCGATCCCTTCCTCGGAGCTATCACACATCTGTGGGGAGAAGAAAACCACTACATTGGATCAACTCTTTTAAAAATAAGGGTTTCCACTCGGTATAAGTAAAGAATACAAAAATTGGATTGGATATAAGTAACTTCAGTATTATTATTACAGTTGTCCCTATTCTGACTATTATTATTATTGTTATTGTTATAAACTTTTATTCATTAAATATGTATCTCAGTCAACTGAACATTTAAAAATGTATCACAAACATCCTCATCCTCATCTTTATTTTTATTATTATATTATTATCTCTTTTATTCATTAAACATGATACTCAGACAAATGAACATTTAAAAATGTAACAAACATCCTCATCCTTATCTTTATTATTATAAACTTTTATTCATTAAACATGAAACTCAACTCAACTGAACATTTAAAAATTTATTACAAATATCATTCACTGACTCTGATGGTTATGATTATGATTATTGTTGTTACCAATAACATTATTATTATATTGTATAAATTAATTGATCCAGACAATATACACTGCTTATTAAACACATATATACCTTAGAGAAAAAGTGTATAAATAATTTTTAAAAAAAAATTAAAAAAAGGGTTTCCAGCCTTGGCCACTTTAAGACTTGTGGACTTCGACTCCCAAAATTCTCCTCGGAATTTTCCCAGAATTCTGGCTCCTCCCACACCAGCTGAGGAATTCTGGGAGTCGAAGTCCACAAGGTTGGAGACCCTGGCTTCAAAACGTGTCCTTCAAGGGATTCAGAATACAGGAAGTCCTCGATTTACAGCAATTCATGTAGTGACTGTTCAAAGTTACAACGACGCTGAAAAAAGTGACAGGCCCCCTTTTCACAGTTATGACCATTGTAGCAGCCCTATGATCACAATTCAGGCTTTTGGCAACTGACTTATATTTATGACGGTCGCCGTGTCCCGGGGTTCACGTGATCCCCTTTTATGACCTTCCAACGAGCAAAGTCAGAATGGGAAAGCCGGATTTGCTTAACGACCGTGGCAAGAAAAGTCGTAACATGGGGGCAAAACTCACTTAACACACATCCCACTTAACAACATATATTTTAGGCTCAATTTTGGTCGTATCTCAAGGACTACCTGTACAAAGAATGAACACACGGACGGGAGACATTTAAGGAGGTGTTTTTGGGGGGTTGTTGGTTTTGCAGGAACATGAATCTGAAGAAGAAAGAGGATCGTAAACTCTGGCTACCTGCAAGAATCGTTCAACCCGACAGGAAGAATGTTCCGGCCCAGCCCCATCGTAGCCGTGTGGAAGGAGAACCACCAGGCCACTCTGCAGGAGCCACTTGGCTTCCCCTGGAGACGAGAAGTTATTCTTTTTGGGTTTTTTTAAATAAAGGTTTTTTATTTTTATTTTTTACATATCGCTTCACGTGAGCAACGTGATTCCAGATTACAACATTTATACATAGTCATAATTACATTGCCATCTGTCTTCTTTAACATCACCTCAAGTCATTCCCTCATCTTTAGATAAATTTCCATTTCATATTTCAATTCATTAGTTCAATGTCAATGTCATTTCATCCACACGTATTTTCAATTCTTTATCCCCTATTATTTCCATTTTCAGCTTATCATCTATTTTATTTTACTTTATACATCATTATCACCCTAGACCGATATATAATAAACAATCAAAACCGAGTAAAAATAAAATGAAACTAATATATTTAAGATCTACATGGTAAATACTCTCATTATAAATACTTTATATTCCAATACAATCCCTAATCATATTTTTTTCCTTATTTCCACTTAACCAAAGTTTACCTATGTATTTTAATAAATTTCTATTCCCCTACTTTTAATCATCAAAGAGATGAGAAGTTATTCAATGTCAAGAATGGTACACTGTTAGCATCTGCCAAATAGCACGCAGGGAGTCCTTCGTTTACAACTATTTGCTTAGCTGTTATTTCCACGTATTAAAGCAAAACCCGACTCTCTTTTGGCCCTGATGATGTTCCCTAGTTAGGTCATGAAACATCTCCAAGAGAGCCACCAAGCTCAGAGAGCACCAAGGACCCTACAGTCTTTCTCCTCCTCCTCCTCCTCCTCCTTACCCCACACTCCCTTTTGGCACTGATGATGTTACCTAGTTGGGTTATGAAACGTCTCCAAGAAAGCCTCCAAGCTCAGGAAACACCGAGGACTCTTCATTTCTACCCTGAGCTACAGATATTTTTCTTCAACCAGAACTGTAAATATATTTTCTATCCCAACAGGCAGCTGAGTCTCACCTCCAGAGATAAATGTATCGAATATTATCTGAGCTCCGTTGAAGAAATCCCCAAACTGAGCCTCCCAAATGGGCAGCAGGTTGGGGCTGTCAATACTCATCCCATACTCAAAGCCGAGCACCGCTTCTTCAGACAGGGGGCTGTTGCTCACCTAGTGGAGAACGGGAGACAGCAGAATGGGAAACGGCTGGCATATTTGCCGGAAATAGGCCCCTCTGAACACACACACACACACACAAAATAATTGTAGAAGCTGATGGATGGGAGGGAGGGAGGCTGGACACAGAGGGATGGATGGACAGATGACACTGATGGAGGGATGGATGGAAGGAAGGCCACGAATGGGTGGAGGGATGGATGGAAGGAAGGGGTGAGGAGGAAGAGAAAAGGAAGGAAGGAAAGAAGGAAGGACATGGATGGGCGGATGACACTGATGGATGGATGGATGGATGGATGGAGGGATGGATGGATGGAAGGAAGGAAGGAAGGAAGGAAGGAAGGAAGGAAGGAAGGAAGGAAGGAAGGAAGGAAGGAAGGAAGGAAGGAAGGAAGGAAGAACAGACACCGGTTGATGGAGGGATGGACAGAATGACATGAATGGATGGATGAAGGGGTGAGGAGGAAGAGAGAAGAAATGAGAAAAGGAAGGAGAAAAGAAGGACAAACATGGATGGAGGGATGGATGGAAGGGTGGATAGAAGGAAGGACAAGGAAGGAAGGGAGGGAGGGAGGAAGGAAGGAAGCTTACAGCAGAAAGAAGATCTAATCAGATAAACATTTATCTGGAAGATTCATATTGTATGAGACCTAAAACCTCCATGCATAAAATTTCATTCTCAATTTTTTATGACATAGAAATTGTTATTTGTATCTCCAACTTGACACGTTCATAGATTTAAAATCTAAGTGTCTGGGTGCCTCTCTGCATGTGTACATATGTACATTTGTATCTGTGCATTATCTTTCTATGGATTTGCCTGTACACTTCTAAGAAAGTAAAACCCATTTTTTGTCAAAGGCAGTCCTCATGGGGCTATCTACTCAGCCAAGCACAATAAGGAGGGGGAAAAAGCTGAGAGCATTAGCACATTGCATTATCCCGAGCTCCATCATGTAAAACCATATCCTCCATCTCACAATGTTTGTTGTGTTAGCAAGTCTCCCCATTGTTGTAATTCACATGTTCTCCCTAGAAACAATGCTTCAATAACTCTGATTTTCATGTGGAATTTCAAGAATGTAACTCTTATCTATAGGACAAGGATGGGGTTTGGGTATGAATCTCTTTCTTCCTTTCTCCCCCCCCCCTTTTCTCTTTCTCCTCCTTTCTCTTTCTCCTTCTCTGTCTCCTTTTCTGTTTCTTTCTCTCTCTTCCTCTTTTTATCTCTTTGTGGTCTTCTATTTCTCTCTCCCTTTCTTTCTGTTCTCTCTCTCCCTTCCTCTTCTTTCTCTTCTCTTTATCCTCTCTTTCTCTCCCTCTCTCTTCTCTTTCTCCTCCTCTTCTTTCTCTTCTCTCTCTCTCTCCCTTTCTTTCTCTCTTTCTCTTCTCTCTCTCCCTTTCTCCTCCTCCTATATTCTTCTTCTTCTCTTTCTCCTCTCCTTCCCTTTTTCTTTCTCTTCTCTCTCCCTTTCTCTTTCTCTCTTTCTTTTCCTTCTCTCTTTCTTTTTCTCTTCTCTTCTCTCTCTCACTCTCCCTCCCTCCCTCCCTCCCTCCCTTTCTTTTTCTTCTCTTTCTCTTCTGTCTCTCTCTCTCTGTGCATCATCTGAAACTTTGTGGAATGAGCTGGCATGAAAAGCAAATTACAACACAATATTCTCACATGCTCTCAGAGGGCAACCTAATGTGTGACGACCTGGAAATAAATCTTATTTGACCCAGGGAGTTTTGTCCCGGTGTGAAATCCAGGTGAGGCAGCATGAGGTGAAGTCCTCTCGTTCCAACCTCCCTTTCTCACCTCAAGGAAGCCCTTCTGATCGGCAGACATGTGGTTCAAAGGGATGTAGGTTTCCCCGGTCTCTTGGCAAACCAACATGGCATGTCTCTGGCTGAATGTCCCTCGGCCCACGTCTTGTCCACTCAAACGAATGTTAAAACCTTGGTAGAAAGCAAATCTAGGGTGAGAATTGATGATGATTTGAAAGGTTCAGAAGGAGGAAGAACTTGCTTCTTCCTAAGGACGCCCCTAAAAGAAAGCTTGACTTCTATACCTATCTTGAGGTCTGTTTTGTCTTCTCCTTCTTGCTAGAATAAGTGTTTTGTGTAGTTTTTTTTAAAACTCTAAATATCTCTTTTGGCCTATTTATAGGGGAGGTGTTGGTTTAATGGCAAGTCAACACAGTGGTGGGATTCAATTTTTTTTATTACCAGTTCTGTGAGCGTGGCTTGGTGAGTGTGGCTTGATGGGCATGGCTTGGTGGGCGTGGCAGGGAATGATACTGCAAAATCCCCCTTCCCTCCCCACCCCACTAACCTGCTTTCCCCACTGCTTCCAACCACTCGTCAAAAGGAACATGCTTTCAAATCATTCATATTAAGTATATCTAGCTGGGTTAAACGGTGGGCCCAGCTATCCAAAAGTGGACAGGACCTTGGCAAAACCAGATCAGAACCGAATCCATTTAGTTTTATTTTTAAATTTGGGTCCCTGGTTCTGCGGAGGGCCTAAAACTGGGGCTCGTCCCACGGCCTGAATTTGGCAGGAAACCAGAACGAGATTAGTACTTTCCGAAGGGCTAGAAAGATGTCTAAATTCTCCACAAATGGCATAAAGATCTCCCCTTCTAATTAATTTAATGATACAATCAGCGAACTGTGCCAAGCTGAGTTCCCTTTTTTGTATATGTTTTCCCCATTTATGTTTACTTTCCTGGCTTAATAGTGGACGCAACTTTTATATGTTTTAAAGACCTACCTTGACACAGTAGAGAACCAAAAGCTAATGCTTCAGCAGTGGCCCAGTCTACTTTCACTCCTTCCTCCATCTTCAACACCCGTGACTGCACGCCCAACGCAGAACACAACAGGACAGGAACAAAACAGGAATAGGAACAGAACAGGAACAAACAGGAGGGACAAAACAGGAAAAGGAACAGAACAGGAACAAAACAGGAGCAGGAGCAGAACAGAATAGGATAGAACCAGAACCGAAACAGAACCGATCAGAACAAAAGAGACAGAAAAAAACAGGAGCAGAACAGGACAGGAATGGGAACCAAACAGGAACAGAACAAAGCAGGAACAGGAACAGGAATAGAACAGGAATGGGAACAGAACAGGAATGGAACAGAACAAAACAGAACAGGAACAGAGCAGAACAAAACAAAACAATAACAAGACAGGAACAGAACCAGAACAGGAAAACAACAGAAACAGAACAGAAATAAATGCAAATCATTATTTTGTTACTTCAATTACCAAAAGGTCTAGGAGTTTCCTGCTTAAGTTTTGCAGAAAAACTAAATAATAGCATACGATTGCAAGGCGGGGAAACCAGTGGCAGCACACAGACCATAACTTCATTGTGTATTACACACACACCATATAACCTGTACATCATCTCTGCCATTTGCACAATGAACTAAGCCCCAATGACTTGAATTGGGCTTCCTTGCTTGAATGTGATCCTAACCACTTTCAAAGCAGGTCAATTCTAATAAAAAGCTATATTTTTGAGATTGGCCTTGAAAAACCCACCTATTTTTAAAATTTAGTCTGCTTTTAAGATGAGGTCAATTGAAATAGGATGCATTCAAGGGGACAGTTTGTTCCTCCCATTCCTACTGCTAGTTCAGAAAACTAACATTATTTAACGATATTTTTAACATAAACACAATGCCTCACATAATGTCTTAAAAGCCATAAAATTTCAGACTCCAAAGTCAAGATACCAAAATGTCCTTTAGGGCACACATTACTAGTTCCTAAAACCAAACACCTATTTTTTTTAATTTCAAATATCATGGAACGGCAATCCCAAAGATGCTTTTTCAAAAGGCCAATAACTGGACTTCGTTTTTACTTGAAAAACCTTCCTTGAGAACTGAAGAAGCTTCCTGCGGATGAGAAGCGAAACCTCTTCAAGGAAAAAACCCAGAAAGCCCAGCTGCCTTCAAAGTCAGCTGAAGAACTGGACAAGCTTCTTGGATGAGAAGCGAAACATTTTCTAAAGAGAAAGAAAAATGAGAAAGTCCAGTTGCCTTTTGGGAAAAAAGTACCTTTGGGACAACCATATCCTGAATGATGGAGAATCTCCTCAGATACGGAAGAGCAAGTCTTACAAAATGCATTTTTACCTCACAATCCAATACTTGAGGTAAATTAATGACAACAAACACTTGGCAACTGACTCATATTTATGATGGATGCAGTGGGGGAAGCCTGATTCACTTAACAACTGGGTGACTAACTTAATGACAGCAGTGATTCGCTTATGAGAAAGGTCGTAAAATGCGGTAAAACTCTCTTGACCCATGTCTCGCTTAGCAACAGAACCTTTGGGCTCCATTGCAGTCGTAAGGACTGCCTGGACAATCTTCTGCACGACTATGGAGTTGTATTTGAGGATGTCAAACCTGAGCATGCGTCTTCAGGATGTGGTTGTGTAGTTGTAATTCTTCAGGCACTTCCACCGACTTGACCCCGACAAATTGGAGGAGCGGGACTGGAATACCGGTGTCCCATGTTGTGACTCTTGGCATGGGCTCCACCAGGCCGGTCCAGTGGTCCTGAAGGTTGGGGCACAGAGGCACATACATAGCCATGGTGGCGAGATGTTCGTTGAGCTTGGAGTAATAGGAAGTTTTGATCTCCGATATTTCCTGCTCGGTTGTAAGTCCCTCAGCTACCAGGCCCTCCGCGTAAGTATCCGGGATGCTTTTCCGGGATCTATCCGGCAAAACAAGACACAATAAGGCGAGAAATGAGCTTTTACTTCCCAAATCTCAGCCATTTTAAGATGTATGGATTTCAATTCCCAGAATTCCCACCCACTGTATCTCAATCTCAGCCGTTTTAAGATGTATGGATTTCAATTCCCAGAATTCTGACCCACTGTATCTCAATCTCAGCCATTTTAAGATGTATGGATTTCAATTCCCAGAATTCCCACCCATCATTTCTCAATCTCAGCCATTTTAAGATGCATGGATTTCAATTCCCAGAATTCCCACTCATTGTATCTCAATCTTAGCCAGTTTTACGCTCTTGGATTTTAATTCCCAGAATTCCCGAACAGCAATTCTCAATCTTAGTTGGTTTTATGATGTGTGGACTTCTGGGAAGGCTGGCGAGTGAATTCTGAGAATTGAAGTCCATACATAGAAACAATTTTAAAAAAATCCCTTTTTATGACCTTGTAATCACAGGAATACTGCAAGTGTGCAAAAGTATTTAAATTCAAGCATGCCCAACGGATGGGCCTCTGTCTTCTTCTCAAAGACACCTGGTAAGGATGAATCTCCCACCCTTCTGGGTGGTGCTTCCATGGTCAACAGCTCTTCCAGTTGGAATTAAACGGTACCTAATTATTTTATACATGGTGGGGTTGGTGAAAAAGGGCTCATCGAGTTCATTGTGACCCCACTGCCGATAGCAGAGAAGATCCACAATCACATCCTTCCGGAAAAGTCTCTGGTACTCCACGGCCAGTCGGGCAGCTCTGAGAACTTCTTCCGGGTCGTCTCCATTCACGTGGACAACAGCACAGCCAACTATCTTACCTAACATGGAGAAGAGAGAGAGAAGGAGGTGAAGATGTACCAAAGAGGACTCCACGAAACCCAAATCTCTGGGATCGTCTGGTCAGCTAGAACTCCTGTTTTGGGGGAGTTTCCTCCTTCCAATTCAGGAACAAAACTACAAGATCACCTGAAACCATAGTGATTCTACATGGGACAAAGATCACGTCAAGTGAAAACCAACATTGGCTGTGTTGGGGAGATCACCTCAGGTGAAAGTCACCTCAGGTGAGGGTCTTGTGAGGGTCAGATGAGAGTCACCTCAGGTGACAATGTTACAATCCCTAATCCTTAATTTCTACCCACACCGACACCAAACAGCACCAGTTTGACAGGAGCAACACAAAAATTGTCAACCACGCTACCTGCCGCCATGCTCGTGAGTTCATCAAAGCCGGGCACTCCACAAGCAATTCCACCAACAGATACATTGACCTACAACCAGCCTACGAAACCCCTCAGAATTGAAATCAACCGCAAAGCCAACCAGAGACAGCAGCGGCTCTGAACCAATCCATACAATTCCCCCTTCGCCTCCACCAGAAGTTCACCTCCCAATGACCATGAACCTGAGGTAATCTCCTTATCTCAAGACCCATAAAAAGACCTTCACTTTTGACCCATACCTAACCCATCAGAAGACCCTCACTTGATGTGACTCTCACCTGATGTGACCTCCCCATCACAAGACCCTCACTTGACACGACCCATACCTGATCCTCACAAGACCCTCACCTGAGGTGACCTCATCACAAAACTGACTTGACACAACCCACACCCGACCCCCACAAGACCCTCAGCTGAGGTGACTCTCACCTGAGGTGACCTCCTCATCACAAGACCCTCACTTGTGACCCACACCTGACCCTCATGAGACCCTCACCTGAGGTGACCTCCCCATCACAAGACCCTCATTTGACACGACCCATACCTGACCATTAGAAGACTCCCACCTGAGGTGACTCTCACCTGAGGTGACCTCCTCATCACAACACCCTCACTGGTGACCTAGACCTGACTCATCACAAGACCCTCACTTGACACGACCCACACCTGACCCTCACAAGACCCTCCTCACCGGAGGTGACTCTCACCTGTGGTGACCTCCCCATCACAAGACCTTCAGTTGTGACCCACAACTGACCCATCACAAGACTCTCACTGGTGACCCCACCTGACCCATCACAAGGTGCAGGGATCAGCAGTGGGATCCTACCTCACCAACTATCGGTTCGGTGATCGCACGCGCACCTAATGCATGCACCCAACTTTCCACACACCAGCTGAGACTGCAGCGCCAATCAGCTGAGAGGAGAAAGAAGAGAAAAGCACAGGGGTCGGTGGGAGGGCCAATCCTGCTCTTTTCTCTTCTTTCTCCTCTCAGCTGAGTGTCGGGGGATTTTTTTTTACTACCAGTTCGGCCGAACCGGTAGGAATTTTGGCAACCAGTTGGGCCGAACCGGGCTGAACCGGTAACATATCACCACTGGCAGGGATCAATTGTCCTCTTTAGATTCTGCCTGTGTTGAACCACATGGGATTTTTACTTGATCAGCGTCTAATTACAGTTTTCTGCATTTTTAACCAATTCTTTCCGGAATCCCGCAAGACCTACCGATATCACTACAATACAAGGAGGACCGTCCTCGCTCTGCCGGGGTGGTGTAGCCCAGTTGGTTATTTACGATGAGGTGAACGCTTCCCCCGGTTCTAAAATGGGGCAGGTTGGAAAGAGTGAACGTTTCCGGAACAATCCCTTGGCCGGAGAATGAAGCGTCTCCGTGGACCTGCATCCCAAAGATAAAAATGGCATCGGTCACAAACATGGATCATTCCTGGCCTTCTTCCACTTCATTTGTGTGGAAAAAGAAAAATGTGGGCACTGCTGTATTTTTTAGTTTCTAGTTTACTTTATTGTCATTGCACCTCGTACAACGAAATCAAACACCATCTTCAGTGCACATCATGACCATGAAAATAAACACACACATCCTTCACACTCCACACATTGAAAACCTTGGACACCACACCAACACTGCACTATACAGTAGAGTTCAATAGAGTTACTGCCCTGGGATAGAAGCTGTTTTTCAGCTTATTTGTCCTTGTTTTTATTATTATCCTGTACTGGCTGCCAGATGGTAATAGTTAAAAAAAGGGATTCCCAGGATGAGATGGATCTTTGAGGATGTTTTGAACTTTCTTAAGGCTGCAGGAGCTATAAAGCTCTTCCAAAGAGGGGAGAGGGCAACCCATGATCCTCTGGGCAATGACCTTAACCCTCTGGAGTGCTTTCCTATCTGCCCCTGTGCAATTGGCAAACCACACACAGGTGCAGTAAGTTAAGATACTCTCTATGGTGCAGCGGTAGAAGGTCACCAGCAGTTTTTCATCCAATTGTTGTTTTCTGAGAAATCTCAGGTAGTATAATCTCTGCTGGGCCCTTTTGACCAGGGCTGCAATGTGGGCATCCCAGGTCAGGTCCTCTTTTAGGGTAACACCCAGAAACTTAAAATTGGCCACTTGCTCCACTTGGTCTCCCTTGATAAGCAAGGGCTGGATGTCTGATGTGTTCCTTCTATAGTCCACTATAAGGTCCTTGGTCTTATCGGTGTTGAGGACCAAGTTGTTGTTTCCACATCACGAAAGCAACCAATCCACCTCATCTCGGTAGGCAGACTCATCCCCCCCAGAGATGAGTCCCACCATTTTACTTAAGGAGCCCAAATTAAAAAGGAAAGCCTCTCTGTATAATGGGCCCAATGGATACAGGTAGTCAACAGTTCTGTTTAGTGACTGCACTTATAACCATACAAAATGTGATATAACCATTTTTTCACACTGAGGACTGTTATATGATCAAAATTCAGATATCTTTACAACTGGTTCCTATTTATGACGGCCGTGTCCCGGAGGTCATGTGATTCCCCTTTTCGATGAACAAAGCCAACGGGGAAGCCAGCTTCACTTAACAACCGTGTGACTAATTTAATAACTGTGGTGATTCACTCAACAACAGTGGCAAGGAAGCTCGTAAAAGGAGGGGGAGCACTTCGGTTGCTATGATAGAGCACTTTGGTTGCTATGACCAGAAGTGCATTCCACCCATACCTTTCTCCTGATTGTATCTCAGGTTATCAGACCCAGCCGGAGAGAGGCGTGTTTTTCTACAGCCTGCAAAAGTGCTCTGTTGGAGAATGTGATTTATGACACATCCTGGGAGGAGGGGAGAAATAGCGTCATAAGTGGGCAGTAAACTCCATGGGGCAGAGCCGACTCTACTTGGGAAAAGTAGTGCCGACATGTTGCTCCTAATAAATAGTTGGATTTATTTTGAATCTTGGTTCAAGGCTCATGAATTAATGAGGGCAGTGATGGCGAACCTTTTTGTTGTGGGGTGCCGAAAGCACGCGCATGTGCCAGCACCCACAATGCAATGCCCCCCCCCCCCCGCGCATGCACACGCAACTGCAGCCTCAGGAGGCCAAAAAATGGGCCTTCCGGAAATACCTCAAGTGCCTGTTTTTAGCCTCTGGAGAGCCTCTGGAGCACAGGGGAGGTATTTTTCACCCTCCCAGAGGCTCGAGCAAAGCCTCTGGAGCCTCTGGAGGCTGAAAACAGGCCCGTTTCGGCACGTCCGGTATTTCTGGAAAGCCCGTTTTTTTGGCCTCCCAAGGCTGCAGAGGGTTTCCTTGAGCCCCTGGGAGGGCAAAAATGGCCTCAAATGGGCCGAAAAACAGCTGGGAGGCGCACGCATGCGCAGTGCAGGTAAGTTTGGCTGGGGCTCGCATGCCTGCACAAATGGCTCTGCGTGCCACCCGCGGCACGCGTGCCATAGGTTCGCCATCACAGAATTAGGGCATCCGTTAGAACCCTGACAATATAGTGATAACATGAAACATGATGAGCTTAATAGTCGCATCGATTACAATCGCTCTATTGTTTACATCTCTATCTTGGCACACTGTCTATCATTCATTTCTTGTTCCCATTTTTTTTGCTGAGTCTCCCAATTACCTGCAGGCAAATGACTTTGTCTCCGGGCCGAGCCGAACCGGCTAAGGAGTAATCCCCATCCAACAATGTTTGCTGTCTCCCTCTGGTTTTGCCGACCGCCACAGGGTTGATGGCTTCCAGGTGGGAAGGGTTCGGCAACAGGATGACGTGAATTGGGCGGTGAGACCCGAAGTCCAGCTCCACCGAGGCCGTGAGGTGAGAAAGGACGTCTCCGATGGCAGCCGAGTCCTCCGGGAATTCGCTCAAGCCTTGCATTTTACGGAACATCAGCTTTTGGCAGGGAAAGAAGAAGAGAACGGCAGTTTTGGATGATGAAAAATTTCTTGCAGGGCTAACCAGATTCTGTAATGGCTTTGGGATTCCCTAAGGCACCCATCCATCCATTTGGTGGTCTGTTTTTCTCGCCCTGTACATGGTCTGTTTTTCTCGCCCTGTACATGTATACATCCAGACTAGACCATGTTGTTTCCCTGTGTCGTATAATATATGTGGGTATATGCATAATTTTGTATTTGTTTGTTTGTTTTGTCACGTTTATATAGTGTATATTGGAGGTGGTGACCCATTGACAGCTGTATGCAATGAAATTTCGTTTTAATGTATGCCAATTGGTGTGCAAACTGACAATAAAGTTGTTCCGTACTGTTCTATTCCATTCTAATCTATTCTATTCCATATTCTTATTCTATTTCTATTCTATTTCTATTCTAATTCTTATTCTATTCCATTCCATTCATTATATTCTCTATTATTCTCTATTCCATTCTGCTCTGTTCCATTCCATATATTATATTCTCTATTCTTTGTTCTCTATTGTCTCTTCCCTTCTTTTCCCTTCCATTTCATATACTGTATTATATTCTCTATTCTCTTCTGTTCCCTTCATTAGTCTCTATTATTCTCTATTCCGTTCTGCTCCATTCCATTCCATTCCATTCTATATATTATATATTATATTCTCTATTTTCTATTTTCTATTCCCTTCCCTTCCATTCATTATATTCTCTATTATTCTCTATTCCATTCTTCTCCGTTCTGTTCCATTTCATTCCATATATTATATTCTCTATTCTCTACTCTTCTCTTCCCTTCCCTTTCATTCATTATATTCTCTATTCTATTCCATTCAATTCCATTCATTATATTCTATATTATTCTTTATTCTGTTCTGTTCTGTTCTATTCTATTCTTTCTATTCTCTTCCATTATATTCGTTATTATTCTCTATTCCGTTCTGTTCCATTCCATATGTTATATTCTCTATTATTTTTTTATTATTTTCTATTTCTATTCAACTCTACTCTATTCCATTCTATAAATTATATTCTCTATTATTCTCTGTTCTTCCCTATTCTATTTCCATTTCTATTCCTGTTTAAAACCCCATCCCTTTCCCTCACCTCAGGCGGGAATTGAAGGAGGCCTGTGAGGAGATTAAGTCTTCCCCGGTGGGGCATCCCGAGGATGATGTCCGTCACGCCGCTGTACGAGGCCATCTTCAGTAGCTCATGGAAGAAGCCCATCATGCTCTCCGCCCCTTCGCCCCCGTAGCGCTTCACCGTGGCAAACTTGGTGGCCAGGAAGCGGTCAAACTCCTGTGGGACGCAAAATCTGGGAGTTAGGGATCCCACTCGCTTCACTTGCTCGCCCCAGCTTCTCATAACAGGGAGTCCTTGACTTTACAACTGTTCTTTTTAGTGACCGTTCAAAATTACGATGGCACTTTAAAAGAAGAGACTGTGTTTCAAACTTACGACTGTTGCAGCCTCCCATGAGGTCACACGATCCAAATTCAGACCTGTGGCCACTGACTCATAGTTATGGGGGTCACAGTGTCCCCCAGGGAGTCACGCGATCCTAACCCTTTGGCGACCGCCTGACAAGCTGTAAGTCAATGGGGGGGAGGACGGATTCATTTAACAACCAGGTTACTTGCTCAACAACTGTGGGGAATTCACTTAATAATGGTGGCAAGGAAGGTTGTAAAAATGGAGCAAACCTCACTTAACAACTGGTCTCACTTTGGGGCTCAATTGAGGCCACAAGTCAAGGACCAACTGTGCTCACTGCTAAAGAGGAACATGTACAGTCTTATCAGCTGTCAACTGGAATATAAAATAAAAATAAATAAAAATAGGATAGGATACAGAATAAAGTCTAAGAGAATTTTAGAACCTTTCCTCCCCCCTTTTTTAAATTTAACCCTGTATATTTACATGATGTGTGACATTTATACTAGCCTGGTTACAGATAACAAATGATATTTGTTCCCTAGTCTTGTAAACTCAAGATTCATCTTCCTCACCATGTACACGTATACATCTGAACAAGACTGTGTTGTTTCTCTGTGTCATATATGTGGGCTCTAGCTCAATACCCGTGCTTCGCTACGAAACTATGTGGTCGGGCTTAGTTTTTGGGGACGAAAATAAGGAAGGGAAAATTCTGCCTCTGCCTACCAGCATCCATTGGTATTCATCTGGCTAGCGTCCTGTTGGTGTGTGGGAGAGAGTTGAGGGCTGTTTGGAAACTGAAAGAGTATTTGCTGTGTGAGCAAGGAGACAGCAAGGAGCCTGGGCGGGGCTTAGCTCAACTGTTCTGTACAAAAGCTGCTTGGTGCTGCTGTGAAACTGAAACTGAAACTCCTTTCCTCTGCTTGTGTTTTGCCTTTGGAAGAGATTTCTTATCAGGTGGGGAGGGGGAATAGAACTCCTTAGCATCAGAGCGTAATAATAATAATAATAATAATAATAATAATAATAATAATAATAATA